ATCGGGTCTCGGGCAAGTAACATACCGATTGACAAAGGGAATTGTATACGGGGTTTGATCGAATCCTCGACATCGTGGTTCATCTGATGACATCATCGAGGAGCATGTGGGAGCCAACATGGGTATCCAGATCCCGCTGTTGGTTATTGACCGGAGAGTCTCGGTCATGTCTGCATGTCTCCCGAACCCGTAGGGTCTACACACTTAAGGTTCGGTGGGAGCGGCTGCCGGTGGGGCATCCGGAGAAGCTGCCAAGACGCCCATGGGGTACCTATAGCGAGGACGACGTACTCGACACCCCACCGTAGCTTACGAGTGGGACGTTGTCAAACTCTACACGGGCCTAAACAAGACTTCATACAAGGCCTACACCAACGAGATCGACGCTTTGACGAATACGCAGGTATATGAACTTGCTCAGCACCTTTCTCTTTGATTCCAATTTTGATCGAGAGTGGAAACTTAGCAATGTATATATAATAGGTAAACTGGTGGTCGTATCATGATCGAGAGTGGGACTTCGATCTGAACGTGATGTGCGATGCGGACCGTGCTCTCTGGTGGTGCATCGTGCCCATGATCTGTGTGTACGCCGTCGAGTGGCACTTGCCACACCGCGTGGCCGCGTAGTTTAGGATGTAAGCATACCCCACCGGGCCAACTGACCGATACCGGAGGTCACGCGCTCCACTTGTTAGTGCTCGCGCTTGTTCTTTGTGCCCATGATTTCATTGCGTTCGACTTTATTATGATGTTTCTTGTTGCTAATGCCTTGCAGGATGAGCCGGCAGAAGAATCAGTCGATCACAGACTGGGGAAAGGAGCATAAAACTCATGTGACGGAATGGAACCGACAGAAGTCCCGTAAATATGTGGAGAGGAGAGTGACTGTCTGGAATGCTTACGAGGACCAACACATGAGGTGGTACGATGATGGCCATAAGCACCGTATTCGTCTCAGGCCTTGGTGGACGGCGGAAGACATCGCGGAGCTGGAGATGGATGACCTCGAGGAAGAGGCCTACTAGACCGGCATCAGAGACATGCATAGTGGATTTAGGGAGTTTGCACCCCTCATCAACAGAGTGGTAAGTTTGACCCGACGGTTGTATTTAAATTATTTATTTGTCATCGTGACTGACTTATGCCTCTATAGTCCGGTGAGCTGAATAGATGCATCTTTGAAGCCTTTGGTGCACTAGGTGATATCCCCGGGAGCGTACAATCTGAGAACAAATTGAGGGGGACGATGAAGGTACAATTGCAGCCTCCTCAGAATAGATGCATCTTGTTCACTTGCAATCATAAATCTGATACTTATTATGCCCTTGTTTCATTGTGAGTGCAGAAGTTGGTGAAGCGTTGTCGCAAGCTGGTAGGCCTGCTTGGGTGTGCTGGAGCTGGGTCAGTAGAAGCTTATCATCCTGCAGCCACACATGGTCACATCGCCTCATCGAGCCATGTTCCCTCGTCGTCTAGATTGGTTGAGGAGGAGGAGGAGGAGGAGGAGGAGGAGGAGGAGGATGATGAGGAGGAGGAGGCCACAAATGAAGAAGAGGAGGAGGAGGCCTATCATGAGGAAGATGAGAATGAGAGCGATTGGGAGGAGTACGATGAAGATTACGGACCTCCACCAACTCAATCATCTCAACCATCTCAGTTGCCGAAGAGGAATCCGAAGAAGAAGGATTTGCTGAGTCCGGACCCTTTCCAGAGATAGGTTCCTTGACGGCCCAAGAAGAACACTGAAGAGACTCATTCAAAGAGGAACGAGGACCGTGCCTCCAAGAGCAAGAGGGGAAGGATCAATTAAATTCTGCTCTTCGATACTTGGCTCTTGTAGTTGAAAAGTCTAGTGGTTGTGAAACTATGTGTTTGATATTTGAACTATGTGTTTGCTATTTGTGAAACTATGTGGAACTCCGTTTGCTATGTGGAACTAAGTAGTTGAACTTCGTTTGCTTATTATGCACAAGTTTATGTGGGACTCCATTTGCTTATCATGCACAAGTTTATGTGGAACTCCGTTTGACATGTGTATGTGATGTCCAAGTTTAATTGTTTGAGATCTGTTATTTTGACTCTATATCATTGGTGTGATATTGTTTTTGAAACAAATTAAACTTGGAAAGAGGCAAGACCGTACCCCCAAGGACCCTGGCGGTACGGTCAGACAACCTACCGCTAGCCCCTCGGGCGATAGGCTGACCCTACCGCCAGGCCACTCCGATATTTCTTTGCAAAAGGTTTTGAAGGCAAAAACCCTGGCACACCCTACCACCAGGGGTGCTGGCGGTAGGGTTAGACAGCCTACCGCCAGGGCCGCTGGCGGTAGGGTGCTAATCCACATCAGCACGGGGTGACGGCTGCTGTCCCCCTCCATCGCACCCTAACGCCAGGGTCCCTAGCGGTAGGTTGTATATCCCTACCGCCAACTCCCCTGACGGTAGCGAAAGGGTCAAATCCTAATTTTTTTTCGAACCGGCGTTAGATCCTGAATTGTTAGGCGAAAAGGGTCAAAACACTAAATTTTGCTGGGAGAGGATGAGGGGATGGAGTGTCGTCGGCCACGTGAGGTTCAGACATGCAGTTAGGCATGTGCTAGGTTGATGGAGGCCAAAGGATGAAGAGAAATAGTGTTTGTCGATCAGAGTTGGAAGATGATGCGCGTTCGGTTGGATCGATACAATGGTTCGAAAAGAAGTCGATACTAAGGATTGATCCCGGATTGGAATACATCGACGAGGCACAAAAATGTCTTTAGGCGACTGAAGCTTGGCCGCTTTTATTTTCTAGTACAAGTTTCTTGTTACTGAATCACGATTTAGTTGTTTTTTATGGGTGGTGAGTATGCGCTAAAAGTATGAAAAATATGAGAATCAATCTGTGGTTGAATGGTTAGGAGGACGGTGGTATACCAAGCCCACTAAGTCGGCTACAAAGGCATCTGTGACGACTTCGTCAATCTCAAGACGATGTGCCGACTGAGTCTCTTGAAGGTGCTAATACGGGTAGGTTGTATGTGCGTGCGTTCATATGAGTGAGTGTATATGCATATCTTGAGTACCTACGTCTATATTGTGTTTAAGAAAGTATGAAAAATAATATTCCCTCTGTTCACAGATATAAAATATTTTGTATATTTTAATATGGACTAGGACTATATACGAACTGAAATGAGTGAATAAACACATGAAAATGTATGTATGTACAACTCATTCAAAAAAGAGAATTAAATCAACTTATATTTTTAAACGGAGGGAGTACAATGTTTCGAAAATGAAGGAACCAACAATCCCCAACTGTTTGCCATGGTTTTAAGTTGGAAGAAGACACTCTTCATGGCACATTTTCTTGTCATCTTTAGCAAATGTAACCGTTTCCAGTTTCTTAGGGCATGTACAGTGGTTAATAAACAAGCTTTTAAATCTAGATGACCGATATATAGGCAGATATATCACTCTGGGGATATACCCATATTAACATAATATATCATTTTGTAAATATCATTTTCAAACATATCATCTGATATGGACCGAAATATCGATCGATATGGCCGATATATTGCCCGATATGTCCACCGATATAGAACGATACGTAGATGACAACAATTCTTATTAGCAATCACTGAAATTAGACTATGCATTTACAATTTCATTATATATTGTCCAAGTCATGCACAATGTTTAGTACAAATGCATATATATCATATTATTTTTAATCATGCAGTAATGATTTTGTGAATCTTTCCTTAATAGTTTCTTAATCAACAAGTTAATAAGCTAGAAATCTAAAAGTGTTATCTTAGAGCATTGACATCATACATTTTGTTTTACTAAAAATAAATATTTTGAACAAGAATAATGAAAAAAATAGACATGTTTTCTTCGATATATTTACATATCATCCGATTTATCACCCGATATCCGACATCCGAAATGTCGAATCCAAACCGATATGAACCTGATATCTGATATTTTAAAGCTCGTTAATAAGACAATGTTATCTTAAGCCTTGTATGTAATTTAGAGATGACAATAAAAGAATGTCTACAATGGGTTATTTCTTAGCCTTATTTTTAATAACTAGCAAGTTCCAAAAAAAGTGATGAGACAAATTGTTATAAGAGATTACCTCTTAAATAAGAGAAGACACACATTTTCTTATGAGTTCTCTCTCTTCTTGCTCATCATTTATCTTATGTGGCACTTCTAAAATAACATCATTGTAGATGCTGATATTCGCCAAGTTTGTCTCGACTTTGTATGAAACATGGCAAAAATTTAAAAAGAGGCAACTAACCCCGCGTTTCCGAAGCAGATGGCTAAATAAGGAGAGTACAGTCCATTCCGAGCAAAGAATACTCCAAAGAATTTGTAAATGCCAAGTGAGAAAAATAATGGCAAGAGGACCTGTGCATCGCACAACCTCGAGCTCTTTCGTTATATAAGGAGCCACCATGCGGACGCGGCTAATCTGCACCCGAACTTATATGCTCCTGCATGAACAGTAAAATTGAAAAAATTTAAAAAATTCCAATTTTTTTTGAGAGAAATATTGACAAAAGTTCTAAGTGCCTGCAAAAATTCGTCATGAAATCACATTCCTAGAGGGCGTGGCAAAAAAAACAAAAATAGTACTCTGAAAAAGCTACTTTCAAACGCATTTTGAAGCAATGAATTTGTTTTTTTGGCACGCCTTACAGGAATGTGATTTCATGATGAATTTTTGCAGGCACTTAGAACTTTTGTCAATGTTTCTCTCAAAAAAAATGGAATTTTATGAATTTTTTTTGATTTTTTTTCGATTTTACTGTTCATGCGGGTGCATATGAGCTCGGGTGCAGAATTGACTTTGAGCCACCATGGCTGCCTCAGTACCAACGCCTTCTGTCCTCTCACCTGACACCTCTAGTCTAGTGTCTCCCTCGCCAAGAACCCGCCGCCGCTGCCACTTCCAAGAGTCTCGAGGTCTCCGGCGTCGACCGAAGCAGCGGCAGCATGAAGCGCCTGCTCAGGTGGCTCTCCCGCGTCGCCGCGGCAGACGCCTGCGCCGCCGCCGCGTACAAGCCACTCCGACCCGACGCGGCCGCGAAGGCCTCCTCCATGGCAGCTTCGGCGTCGTCCACGGCGTTCTTCGGCGCGCGGAGGCTCGGCCGCGGCGCACGGGTGCCGGAGGGGCACGCGCCGGTATGCATTGGCGAGGAGGGCGGCCCTGTCGAGCACTTCGCCGTGCGGGCCGAGCTGCTGGGCCAGCCGGCGTTCAAGGCCCTGCTCCGGCGTGCCGCGCAGGAGTATGGCTACGGCCACCCGGGCGCGCTCCGCATCCCCTGCGCCGTGGCCAACTTCCGCCGCCTCCTCCTCGGCCTCTCCGACCCCGGCTGCCAGGCCACCGACGACGACGACTCCGCGCTCTACTAATAGCCTTCTTGCTCTGCTCCCCATTTCACCCTCCCTGTTCGGTGAACCAGCACAGCAATTTGCCAGCTGCTGCGTTCTGACCGATCTGCCCCTGCGTGGATGCTGTACATAGTGAGTTCTGTTGAGATATATGTTTAGCACATGTATTTTTGTACTTCAAGTCTCCTCCTTGTGTATAGTTGAGGATATGACTTGCCCTATATATTATATATACTTGTGCATATGCACCTATCAATACATTGAGAGTTGCATCCTATTCCTCTACATGGTATCAGCCTAACCCTCGATCCCCAGCCCTAGCTGCGCCGCCGTCGCCTCCCCAGGCCGCCGCCGCACCCGCTGTCCCACGCCGCCGCCTCCCAGACCGCCGCGCCGCCTCCCTCCCTCCCCCACAACCCTACCCCGCAGCGCCTCCCTGCCGCACCACGCCGCTCCCCTCGAGCCACCTCTCTCCCGCAAACCCTAACCACCTCCCCGATCCCATCCCGCGCCGCCACCCCCTCCTTCTGCCATGTCGGCCCTCGGCACCTCCTCCTCCTCCAGCGCCCCTCCTGGCAACCCGTTCGACTCTTCCTACAGGTCCGAGCCTGATGAGTCCCAAGCCACCGACATCCGCAACATCCACCTCTCCGATCACGTCCCCATCATCCTCTCCCACGCCTCCGCAAACTACTATGCTTGGAAAACCTACTTCAATCTCCTCTTCCGTGAGTACAACCTTCGTGAGCATGTGGACGGTCTCACCAATTTCTTTGTCGGCGCCCACGACGCCAACTGGCTCGCCATCGACGCCACCCTCATCCGGTGGTTCTTCCTCACCGTCTCTCTGGACATATTCCACACCGTCGTTCGCGATGCGGACGATGCCTATACGGTGTGGACCAAGATCAATGGCCTCTTCACTGACAACAAGCTTCAAGGGATTGTTTTCTTGCAGCAGGAATTTTTGGGGTGCCACCAGAATGACTCCACCATCGACGCCTTCTGTCTCCGGCTCAAGACCCTCTCCGACGAGCTCAACGACGTCGGGTTCAAGGTGGGTGACGTGCTTCTCCTCTCGACGCTCACCGCCGGCCTCAACGAGGACTTCGGCAACGCCGCTTCCAACCTCACCCTCATGGCCAACCCTACTTACGAGCGGGCGGTGGCCTATCTTCGCCTTGAGGAGCGGCGGATGAAGCACCTCCGCACCCGCGCCGTCCACACCACGCTCGCCACCGGCCTCTCCACCGACGCCTCTACACCACCCTCGGCGCCCCGTCCTCCGGCCGTTCCGCACCCTACGCCGGTGCCGCAGCCGCCCAAACCTCTGCGCAACAGTGGGAATGGCGGCAACCGTCGCCGCGGTCGCGGCGGCCAACGCCAAGGCGGCAGCAAAGGGGGCGGCGGCGGCGGTCAGGCTCCCCAGCAGCAGCCCCCGCCACCCTGGGCCAGCGGCTATAACCCCTGCACGGGGGTCGTGCATGCATATAGCATGCCCGTGCCGTGCCCCCCCCCGGCCCCGGGCATCCTCGGCCCACGCCCGAGCGCTCACCAGGCGCTCCTGGATGCGCCTGTCGGCGCACATGGCGTGTACGGCGCCCCTCCTGTCGCGCCTCACTTCGGCGCGTACGGCGCCCCCTACTATGACCCGGCTCTCCTAGCGGCACTGCAGCAGCCGCCACCATACTCAGGTGGTGGCGGCGATTGGATTATGGACTCCGGCGCCACCTCCCATATGTCCACTCACCGGGGTAACCTCACCTCTGTCCATCCCACTTCCACTCCATCTCGCATCATCATCGGTAATGGTGTTGGTCTTCCCATCTCCCATGTCGGTTTTGCACCCTTTCCCTCTAACTCTCGACCTCTTTCTCTTAATAATGTCATTGTTTCTCCTCATTTTATTCAGAATTTAGTTTCCGTTCGTAATCTTTCTCGTGACAATTTTGTAACTATGGAATTTGACGACGTTGGCTTTTTTGTTAAGGACGCTCGCACCAGGATGATTCTTCACCGCTGTGACAGTCCCGGCGACCTCTACCCAGTTCAGTCGCCGTCATCTCCGGGTGGTCCTCGAGCTTTTTCCGCCGGCGTCGATCTTTGGCATGCTCGTCTCGGGCATCCTAGCACTTCTTCACTTCGTCAAATAATGAGAGGATTTTCTTTTTCATGTAATAAAACGGCCGCTCACTCCTGTGAAGCCTGCCGGTTAGGCAAACATGTTCGCCTTCCTTTTAGTTCCTCTTCCACAGTTGCATCTTTTCCGTTTGAGTTGATTCACAGCAATGTATGGACCTCTCCAGTACCTAGTAATTCTGGTTATCTTTATTATCTCGTTATACTGGATGACTACTCTCACTTTGTGTGGACATTTCCTCTTCGTAGGAAATCCGATGTTGCCGCCACCCTCATTGCATTCTATGCTTATGTCTCTACACAGTTTGGGCGACCCATACTCGCACTTCAGACCGACAACGGGAAAGAATTCGACAATTTCACCATCCGCCACCTTCTTTCCTCCCATGGCACTGTGTTTCGTCTCACGTGTGCTTACACCTCACAGCAGAATGGCCGTGCCGAGCGCATCCTACGCACCCTCAATGAGTGTGTGCGTACCCTTCTCTTCCATGCCTACATGCCCTCTCGTTTTTGGCCAGATGCTCTCGCCACCGCCACCCTCCTCCTTAACCTCCGGCCATGCCGTCCGCGCTGGAACTATGCGCCTCACCATCTCCTATATGGCGCTCGTCCCTCCTATGACGGTCTCCGAATTTTCGGTTGCCGTTGCTACCCCAACACCACCGCCACCACACCTCATAAACTAGCTCCTCGTTCCGTTCCATGTGTCTTCTTTGGTTACCCGGCCAACACTAAGGGTTATCGCTGCTATGACCCCGTGTCTCACCGTGTCATCACCTTCCGGCACGTGTACTTTGATGAACTTGTGTTTCCCTTTGCACAGGAACAGGTGGTGCCGCCTTCCTCTCCCGCGGCGGGTTCTCCTCCTCGCCGCCGCCCGCTGCTGGCCTTGGGTGCTCCGGCCACCCCGCCCGTGGTGCCCTCCTCCGGATCCGGGCCATCCGCGGCGCCCTCCTCAGGTTCGGCGCCTTTGTTGCCTGGAGCAGCGTCGACGTCGCCTACGTCGCTCCGCTCCTCTGCCATGCATGCTGGGCCACATGCTGGGCCAACGGCTAGGCTGGCCCCCACTGGCGCGGCCTCCCCTGGCGCGGCCTCTCTTGGCGCTGCGTCAACCCTGCCTTGGTCGCCCGCTGGCGCGATCGCGGCCCCGGTGTCGCCTGGCTCTCCCGACGCCACGGCCTCGTCCTCCACCTGGCCCGCTTCTCCCGACGTCACCGTGGAGGCCACGGCCTCTCCCGTGGACACCGTGGTTTCCACGGCCTTGCCGCCACCCGCGGCTGCCCCGATGGCTGGCCCCGTCACACGCTCGCGCACCGGTGTTTTTCGCCCGAGCTCCCGCTATGCGGATGACTACGTCTGCACCGCCTCGACGTCCGCTCCTTCCCCGTTGCCATCCTCGGTCCGGGCCGCTCTCCGTGACCCACTGTGGATGGCCGCCATGCAGGAGGAGTTTGACGCTTTGCAGCGGAACCAAACCTGGCAGCTTGTCCCCCGTCCCCGGCACGCTAATGTGATCACCGGGAAGTGGGTCTTCAAACACAAGCTTCGTCCCGAAGGCACTCTTGATCGCTACAAGGCGCGTTGGGTTGTTCGTGGCTTCCGGCAACATGCCGGCGTGGACTTCACCGACACCTTCGCTCCGGTTGTTAAGCCCGGGACGGTCCACACTGTCTTACAGTTGGCAGTCTCTCGTGCCTGGCCGGTTCATCAGATGGATGTCTCCAACGCGTTCCTCCATGGTCATCTTGAGGAGCAGGTTTTCTGTCAACAGCCCACGGGGTTTGTTGATCCGGCGTGTCCTGATCATGTGTGTCTGCTTTCACGCTCATTATATGGGCTCAAGCAGGCTCCTCGCGCCTGGTACCAGCGCATCGCAGCGTTTCTTCATCAACTCGGCTTCCGCTCTACACGCTCCAACGCTTCGCTGTTCCTTTATCACCAGGGCACCGACACGGCATATTTGCTGCTCTATGTTGACGACATCATCCTGACAGCATGCACTTCTGAGCTCCTTCGCCGGCTTACTGATCGTCTCCGTGCTGAGTTTGCCATCAAGGACTTGGGTCCATTGCACTACTTCCTCGGTGTTGAGGTGGTGCGTTGTCCTGATGGTTTCTTTCTTCATCAACGGAAGTACGCTCATGAGCTCCTCGACCGTGTTGGTGTGCTTAACTACAAACCGGCAGCCACTCCTGTCGACACGAAGGCCAAGCTCTCTGCTACTGATCGTACTCCTGCTCCAGATGCTGGCTTCTACCGGTCCATTGTTGGTGCTCTCCAGTACCTCACTCTCACTCGACCGGAACTTCAGTACGCGGTTCAGCAGGTCTGCCTGCATACGCATGCTCCTCGAGATGTTCACTGGACTGCCGTTAAGCGGATTCTCCGCTACATCCGCAGTGCTATGGATCTTGGTCTTACTCTGCGCGCCTCCACTGCCACTGATCTGGTCGCCTACTCCGACGCCGATTGGGCTGGTTGCTCGGACACCCGCCGTTCTACTTTGGGTTACTGCATCTTCCTTGGACCATCCCTGGTGTCATGGTCGTCCAAGCGGCAGCCCACCGTCTCGCGGTCTAGCGCCGAGGCTGAGTACCGAGATGTGGCTAATGTTGTTGCTGAGTGCTCCTGGCTTCGCCAGCTTCTTCACGAGCTCTCGTGTCCTGTCGAGAAGGCCACGGTCGTCTACTGCGACAACGTCTCCGCCATCTACCTCTCCGCCAACCCGGTTCATCATCGTCGCACCAAGCACATTGAGCTTGATATCCATTTTGTTCGGGATCAGGTGGCTCTTGGCCATGTCCGTGTTCTGCATGTTCGGACCTCCCAACAATTTGCCGACATCATGACCAAAGGCTTGCCCACGACGTCTTTCGAGG